TTTCAAATTTTGAACGTAAAGTACATTTTTTCCATCACGAGATTAAAGCACAGACAAGTTTTGAATTATTGACTGTATCACCATGATTCCAAAAATACACTACACAACATAGCATTGGCTAACAATAAAACAATATGCAATAAAATAAAGTCATGACAAGGTACATAGTCGAAAATGGCGCCGATTCCCATCAACCAACGCGCGGTCTCTCCAATGTAACATGGTCCATTGATACTCCCCAGCTGGGACCGTCCGGAATAGCAGCTCTAGTGCAAGCACCAGAGCCGCTAAAAACCAAGGAGGACGCAATATTTGGTTTTAACCCATTTTTACATCGATCTTTTACAGTCAAACACGTTAAATTTTGAGCGTTTGGTTGCGAATACACCACGCTGCAGCACAGTAAAAGCACAAAATATAAAAGAAAAATGAAAAAGCTTTGGAAATCATTAAATTAGACACGGAACCGCCTTAACATTTTTAAAATACACGTTATATTTTACTTTGATACATTTTTTTTCATCAATTGAAATGAGAATAATCTGTGCAGAGCGTGCAAACATTTCAAAATCATGAGTTAAAAAACGCTGACTCCGCGAGTTTAAATATTAGAGCCTAACACAGAGCGAGATGCGCATTGGCGCCTACAAACCTAACGGGATACTTCCCGCGTTGAGCAATGCGTGAAGTATCCCTGTTAGGTTTGTAGGCGCCTAGCGCGTGCACGCTAGTCGCCCAGTGGAGTGCAACGGCGTTTCAAGCAACTATTTCGCGACATAGGTGTTGCACAGTATTATACGAGATTGAAGGCGCTCCAACGTATCAAAGAATGACAAGCTTCCTTTAAGGGTAAAGAGCTTTCTCTCTTACCCTTAAAGGGTAAGAGAGAGAAAAATGCGACTCGATTTAGTCAGAAACATTCTTGAGTATACCGTTAAGATGATTTTATTTTGAATCAAGAATAAAATAGCTGAATGAAAGAGGGTTTCTGCTTGATCTAAGTGACTTTTCTTCTTATTTAAGCATCCTTTTTTCTCTAAACAGGCATTATTCTCTTTATTGATTTAGAAGGAAATCTTCTCGGCGGTAAATTTGAGCATACTTCTGCTTGAATCAAGTCACTTTTTCCTCTAATTAAGTTAAAAAATCATGCTAAACGTTACTGGATCCAGATACTAGGACTTAGCAAGTTTTTCGATTACAGCTCTCTTTTTTTCGTCGTCACTAATTGCGAGGGAACTTCATGCTTTTGAAAGATGTCATCAATCATGATATGCTGGGGTGCTTTTAATCTTGTATAATACTGTTTGTATGATACTGACGCCAAAATTCTCAATTATATATTTGTTTCCGTTTGGCCAACCAAACAAACATAAAACGAGCAAAACCCTCATTCTTCCAAGACATAATACATTTCATCCAAAAACGTCGTGAGCAAATGTTGTTTGTATTTACATGTTGACCAATTAACTTTGGGTCTCAATAATTGGTAAGTGGACCAAAACTCCCCTGCCGAAAAAACGCGTGGACTTAAACTACTGGAAAAAACAGGTGCTCGGAAAAAAATCGTTGACGAAATGTACTATAACCCGAAATTTTGCTTAGCACCATTGAGGACTTCTCTCGACCGACAATCTCCGGTACATTCAGTTCACTCATTCAATTTTAACAGTTTGGTCCTTTTGAACGAACTTTGTTTTCTCAAATGTTTCAATATATCCAAAGTATACATATCTTTGTGTAACCTTTGTGCTATCATATAATCTTTGTGTTTAAATCATTGAAAGGGCGAATTTTCTCTTCTTTAATTACCTAATTTGTCCTATCTCGCAATGCTCCGCTCTATACAATCCAGTGGCGTGGCGTGTTTTGCGATATATCAATTGTTATGCCGTTTTAACCTGGAAAAGGATCGATAAACAGGGTGTTCGCAACGAACACCTTAATGATCGATTCTTTACCATAGGTTTAAATGGCATAACAATTGATACATCGCAATTCACACCACGTCACTGATACAATCAATGAGGTCGTATCGCTCAGATTCGGGAGAAAAGTTGAAAACCGAGGCCCAATGACGTATCTCCTATCTTCGGTTGTGTTGCTTACGTGACCCTTGAAGCACCACTACAAATAAGAGGAACGGAAACGAACACAATAATTATTTACAGAAATAGAGCAAAGAAATTGACGCAGGTTGTAACGGCGTAGAGATACAACTATTCGTGCTTGATGGATGCCCGTGTTGCATCTGCGAAATTGAAGGCGCGATGGCGCGAGGCATGAACTCGCAACGCTCCGTTCAGTACTCCCGACAAGTTGTCGGTCAGATTCGGAAGGAAATTTTTAAAACGAAGCCCGATTACGTGCCTCCTATGTTCCGTTGTATTGACATTCAATTCGTTCTTCCATCGTTTTTCAACTTGACAACTGATTCTTTTTTTCGGATGAACATGTTGACCTATATCTAAAGTTCGTGCATACCGGTCCCGTACAACTAGCGGGGCTCGTGTTTTTAGCAACCCTTTGGGAACCTTCTAGGATCCCTCTACATTGACCGTGTAAGTCGGCAATCACATAACTCGTTTGCGGTGTCTGAAAATCTCCGCCTGTACATTATTTTTTTAAAGGAGAACAAATTGACATCATTCTTTGAAGTTTTTGCAAAATTTTCTTCGCATAGAGAAGAAAAATCACGGCAGTTTTAAAGAATGGCCTTTGAGAAGTTTTCCGTTTAACAAATAAAGTAGTATGACAAGAAGTCTGCGACGTCGCAAACCGAGTTATGTGCGATTGCCGACTTACACAGTCGATGTCCATTTTATATCCTTTGTCTATAGCTTTGTCTATCAATTTCAACAAAAAGCCGCTGAGCTCTTTAACGTGCATGGCTTTCTCGTGGTCTTGATTGGTTGACCTAATGGGTTTTGTCCTTTTTCAGGGATGCTTCGAGCCGTTGAACGAGTGGATCGTGGAGCGGGTGAGCAGTCTCATGTTGGCCGGGATCGGGAAGCTCACCATCCAGCTGCTCCTCCTCCTGGCCATCATCCTCATCTACGCCGAGCGGAGTCACAAGTCCCGCATCGTCGTCTGCTCCACCACCGTCTCCCGCTCGGCCGTCTCCGGATCCAACTCCTGTGTCCATTCCATATGACGCATCGACTCCAGTCTCAAGAATCCAGTGGATAGACTCATTTAGTGGACGTCGTTCGATACATCGCGATAGAATAATCGAAATCTAATCGGCTCGTTCAAATTGGCCGCCCTTTGACAGTGCGGTAAAAATTAAAATGGCCAATCGAGCAGTGGCGTGGCGTGCTTTGCGATAGATCGATTCATCTGCTATTAAAACCCATGGAAAAGGATCGATAAACAGGGTGTTCGCAGCGAACGCCTTGATAATCGATTCTTTACCACAGCTTCAAATGGGGAGGTATCGATAGTCGATCATTCACGCCACGCCACTGAATCAGAGGGTCGAATTTTTTGAGATTGAGATTATGTTTCTGTTTACAATTGAACCATGCATCGAATATACCGATGTATCGAATGTCGTAGTCACTGAATCAGTCCTGTTCAACGGTAAAATCCAAGGGAAAATTGGACCGAGTTTAACAGAAAGGAAGCAACCCACATAATGTTGAAACTGAGAAAAAGAGGTTTGAAGTTTTATTCCTCCATACAACTCAATGCAGAAAATAAACTTTAACCCTCTTTTCACGAACTAATTTTATTTTCGACCTTGAGATTTTGGCAGGAGCAAATATACGACTGGGGGAACTCAAAAACATCCTTAACTCAATTTTTTCGAAAATGTGGGTTGGTTCCTCTCTGATAAACTATATCCAAATATGAGTATGACAAGACTAAAGAATGGTGAAATTACACTGAGGACGTTTCGCCGGGTCAATTATTAACAACTGGGCCCTTTTCCAACGAGAAGAAAGGATAGAAGTTTCAAAAATATAAAGAAAAAGAAATAAGCATGCAACTGAATCTTATTGTGAGTTTGCGCTGATTCTTTCCACGTTTAGCTGTATCCTCACATCATGTTTTAATTTCTATAATTTTCTAGGTTTTTTTCCAATTCAAAATGGACATGTAATTAGACCGAAACGTCCTGGCTGTTTTCTTAACTATTTCCCAGGCTTCTTATATACCCATGTTTTCCTTGTTTTTTTATGTTCTGTCTTTTATATGAAGTGAATTAAAATCATGCACATCTTTTTGAGGGGGAGGGGGGAGGGAGGTTGCTGCAGCATTGGCGGAAATAGTGCCAAGAAATGAACCACAAGTCAGAGAAAGAATTAAAAGCAGCACCAGGAAATGTTCCTCGATCGAAATCTTGAGCAGAACACTTTGAAGTTTTTGAAAAGAGCTTTATCATCGGCATTAAATGACGCATTGAATCACCCGATCGACAAAAATCAAACGTAGTTTGACAACATTTATTATCAGACCTTTTGACCTGAAGTTATAAATCATCCCTGTATAGATGCGTGATGATACTCATGAGCCATAAGCGTGCCATGTAAATGATTGAGAACAACAAAGGGTTTTGATTTAGTGGTACTTACTGATTTTTATTGGACTTTTTTTCTAAGGTTTCTACATGCTTTAGAGTTCATATTACAGTTTAGGTTTCCTTTATGAAGTTGTCAGGGAAGAATTTAGGATCTTCATTAAAAATTCAACCACTTCATAACTCAATTTTTAATACATTGAGGATGAGTTTTTTTTCTTCTTCTTCTTCAATAAAATTTTACCCTCAGAACTGGAAGCTATTTAAAACGGTAGCAAGCATGTCTTTCACCTTCATTAGATGTAAGCCATAGATTTTCAATAAATAAAAATAGACATAACGTGTTCGCCCGTAGGATCAAAACGCGTTGCGGAGCGGATACACTTGGATACGGATACGTATTCCACTGTCCTTTCTTTCCATTTAAATTTTTTTCAATAGTTTTAAGATACATTTTTAAGAAATACTTTTCAAAGATTCGGATTATTTTTATACTTTTGAATAAGATTTTTTTTTAATAAAAGTGTGGAAAATAAACTTACAAGAGTGATTTCATTAGTTCTTTTCAACAATGTTCAGAGGTCATTATTGAACCATTGATGATAGGTAATGGTTCTCACATGAAAAAAAAGAGAAAAAAGATTTTTCCTCTTTATGACCAACTTGTTGGCCTTGCAATGAAACTCCAAAAAAAGAAACTTCAAAGAACATTTTGAATTTCACGGTATTTCTACACTGCGGTGAATGAGGCAAAATCGTTAATATCGAATAATAAATCGAACGCAGCGTTAATACACATACCTACATCACTACTCTCAGCTTTTTTATGCTCTATACATTTTTAACCATACATTTTTACATTTTTTTGTATTGTCTGTTTGGTCCAACGGAGAATATTATATAGTTGAGAGTTTTGGTAAAAATGGGGGAGCGTCAATTCCATAAGACAAAATTCACTAAAACTCTGTACACCTCTTTGGTGTAACAGGACTTAACTATCATTCAAGATTTTCTCACCTTGTTATATCTGAACCGGATGAACCTCTATATTTGCCTCAGCTAAAGGCTCTTAGATTTTTCCAGTGTACGATAAGTATCTTGATTTGTTTTGAGAGGAAAGATCTGTACTTTTAATGGATGCCTGTCATTCTTAACACGTTCATTTTCGTATAATACTGTGCAACACCTCTGTTGTGAAACAGTTGATTCAGGCGCGGCCGCGCCTGCGGCGGCCAGCGCGAACCGCGCATTGGCGCCTACAAACCTAAGTGGATACTTCATGCATTGTGCAATGCGTGACGTATCCACTTAGGTTTGTAGGCGCAGAGATACAACTATTCGTACTCGATGGATGTCCGTATTGTATACGCAACAATTGAAGGCGCGATGACGTGAGGCGTGCACTCGCAATGCTCCGCTCTATGTTGCTACTGAAAGTGCATTTCGGGAGAGGAGAGAATTAAAAAAACGTCTCTCCAATCTTTGGCTTTGTTGCTTACCTGGCTTTTTAAATCCCACTACGCAATATATTGCTTATCGGATGGAAGTGACTCAGAGTTGCTTAAATTTCAAATAAAACATAAAGAAGGAACATGATAGGGGTGTGAGAGTTTCGTACATTCATATTTCGCCTTCAATTTTTGAGTTGGGCCCGAAACCAAGCGCCCCACAGCGAATTCTACTCGAGGTTTATTGTCGTATAGGTATGTCATTCGAAGGGGTGAGAAACCACAGTCAGAGAACCTTACCCAATGGAGATGTTGCATGTGTGAGGAATTTGCGATTTGACTGTTGATTCTTAAGTAACAGTTCGCGAGAAACACGATGGTGCCTCTGGTTTTCTCTGAAATCAACTCCCAAGCTCAAAAAAAGCTCTCAAGTTGAGGCCAGCATGGAGGGAATATCCTACACTATCCTGAGAGTCCACTCTCAGGATAGCGTGGGATATCCCCTCAACTTAAGAGCTTTTTTTGAGCTTGGGAGTTGATTTTAGAGAAAACCAGTGGCACCATCGTGTTTCTCGCGAACTTCCATAAAAGAATCAACAGTCAAATCGCAAATTCCTCACACATGCGACATCTCCATTGCATTACACGTTTGCAAATTTTCGTCTGACAATTTGTTCGTTAGCTCAAGAGTGGTTAGGGTATGTTTTGTTAAAAAGAATCGTCATGTGTTTTGTAGGTCACTTTATGAAAATTTCCCGTCGTTGTCGCTAAAATAAATATGCAACAATTGATGAAACAGCAGACGAGATCAAGTTATCGGGGACAACTTTGAAACGTTGTGATGCAATTAAGCCCTTGTGCTCCTCCAACTAATATCATCCCGCGGTGAGTAATATCTAACACCAGCCCAAAGATCTTGATGTTGGCTCTGTTCTTTTATTCAGTCTCTGTAATTTTAATTAAAAAAAAAAAAAAAAAAAAAAAAAAAAAAAAAAAAAAAAAANAAAAAAAAAAAAAAACTGGAGGAAAAACACATTGGATCTAGAGTCCAGACTCTTAAAAACATCGACAGGAAAAAGTACTCTTGATTCAATCAGAATCTAGCTTAAATCAAGGACCAAACCTCTTAATTTAAACGGATTTCGTTTTGATTCAAGCAAAAATCCGATTGAATCAAGAGTATTTTTTCTTGTCAATATTTTCAAGAGTCTGGACTCTAGATCCAATGTGTTTTTTTCCAAAGAATACACGAAATAATCATAAAAATTGACTGCCAAATTTTTGTGGGGAAGAGGTTCTTCTCTGGCGTCAATGCAGAACACCCCTCCAACCCCTCCGTATCTAGAGGGTAAATTAGAATGAACTTTTTTTGCACCTTCAAAGGAATAGCTCGAGTGCCAGCTGATATTTAAATCCGCTGCCCGTGACCTACCTCACTTTCCCCTTACTAATTCCTCAGTGGAGCGTATTGTCATGACGACAATAACTTGACAGAGCGCCACAAAAACAAACTTTCGGCGGCGCTTCATTGGCTCGCGACCTTGCGGCACGGCAACAGCGCACAGTTGACGAAACGCACCTTTTCCTCGGAAAAAGCTAGGAACTATACTGCCGTACAACGCAAAAATGCCGTAAACGCCATTTTAATTTTTTTGGAAACAATTTATCATATCAGAAAAACGTTAGCACCTTAGAACAATGTTTTCACACATAATTATTTCGCAAATACTATTAAGAGCTTAACCTGAGAATGTGAGGTGCATGGGTAAAACGGGTTTTATTTTAAAAAGTGTCAAGTTCCAAAAAGCGCCGGAAAATCTTGATAGATTTACGGCGTTCTTGCTGAGCACGGCAGTGTAAGGTGGTAATTCCGAAAGCAACGACTGTTAACAAATCGTTAAACGCTCATATACGTTTTAATAAAACATGGAGAAATTGTTAAAATGCTCGTATTAGGAACCCGTTTCTTAAGTATTTTTAAAGTACATTTGAAGGGAGGTGAAAAAGTAAGTAAAACGCTCTTAAAATGGTATTAAACTCTTATAAAATAAATGTAGTTTTTCAATAGCATAAATGCTGAAATGTTGAAAACTCCTTAAAAAGTGGTGAGTTTTTTTCGAAGACATGTTCAAATGTAGTATGTGTAGTATTAGTTATAGTGAAAAGATAACATATATCGACGGTGATTCGGTCATCACAAAACTCGTTTGTGTTGTCTGAAAATCTACGCCTCTATATTATTTTTTTTAAAGGAGAACAAATTGACATCATTCCTTGAAGTTTATGCAGAATTTTCTTCGCACGGAGAAGAAAAATCACGGCAAATTCAAAAAATTGCCGTCGAGTAGTTTTCCGCTTAAAACATTAAGTATGACAGGAAGTCTGCGACGTCGCAAACCGAGTTATGTGATTGCCGACTTACATCGTCGATATACACAACTAGGGGGCCCTGCCCCCTGACCGCTACGCGGCCCAACCCCCCAGAGGGCGCCTCGCGCCCTCATGATATCGATGATATGGGCATTTCCAATCAATTGTGGCAGAGTCTCAATAAAGTAGGTTACTAACCCAAATTTTGCGGTACTGACCCTCCCTGTTATCAGTGGCGTGGCGTGAACTGCGATATATCGATTGTTACGCCATTTAAACCTACGGAAAAGGATCGATGAACAGGGTATTCGTAGCGAACACCTTAATAATCGATTCTTAACCATAGGTTTAAATTGCATAACAATCGATACATCGCAATTCACACCACGCCACTGCCTATACCCCCGTGCTATTCAGAAAAGCTCACGGGCGGTCTGCTAAAGCGGTCCTCCGGCCGGCTGACAGGCAGCGTGGTGGCCAGAGGGAACAGCCCTCTTGTGTCCACATAATCGTCACCTTCTGGCCAAAGTATCACAAGCGTCATGCAACGTTTCAAAATTTCCGCCGCCATTTATTTTTTTACAGAGAAATTGTTGGTTGAATCTGTTTGAAAATTTCACTGATTTTTATCGGCAACGCAAAGAACATTCGGTGAAATTTTCGGTCAGCTTCGTCGACAAATTTCTCTGTAAAAAATAAAATGCCGGCGGAAATTTTGATACGTCGCATGGCGCTTGTGATAATTTGGCCGGAAGGTGACGAAATATTTGTTTCTCACTTTTTTCTACGAAGACTTTTCGACTTCGGGAGTCAATCACAGCAACTATTCGCCGACTGTACGGGCCCGAAGACGGCGGCGGTTCGGAATGAGCGAGCGTCGAGCCGGATGGTGTGCCAAATTAAATTAACCTGGATTTTCATTCTCTCCATTCCTGCGCCACCCACGTCCCGTGACTCCACGATTTTGTCCGAAATTAATGGCCCTCGATGAGGCCATGAACGTCCGATACGACGACGCCTCGTTTCCACATCCGAACGCATCCATCAAGAGGAACCGATCG